ATGTGCAAGATTAGAGAGAGTGCTAGTTATGATAGAGTTAGTGTTGCACTCTAACTGGTGGAGGGTTGCTGAATAGCCATTTGTATGTTAGTATGCAGAAATAAGTGGAAGTATCAAGACTAGTGGTGAGCAAAAATTTGCACAGACAGAGAGCAGTACAAGTCAATAAAGCTTTCTGTGAGAAGAGGCGAGGTATTGGAAATATAAATTATCAATACTGATTTCTTAACCTGTTCTCTTTTTTAAAAAACAATAGGCTTATTAGAATCAATGAATATTTTCAAAGTCTTGAATTAATTACTGCCAGTATCTAACTTTAACTTTGTTAGTAATCATAGTAATTTTTGTAATAAAGCACAACTAGTACATACATACAAAGCTTCTGGTTACTTTAGAATAGTAAAGATGAGTTTCAGCAAAAAATAGTGAGTTTTCCATGCTAAATGTTCTATAGAGGCAATCTTGTCAACTAATAATTACATACAGTACTACTTTAATAAGTTTTTTTTTTTTCATACAGGGACTTATACAATGAGTTGGCTTTGGAAATAGTGGAAGTCAGCTAAGAGGAGAATTGATTATTTTCTGGGTAATTTTTTTACTTTTATCAAAGGAAGGTATGCAAGGACAACAGTGAAGGACAAAATGATCCTTTGTTATCCATATGTTATTTTTATATTAGAAAATTATAACTGTCTTAACTGGAGCCTAACCTGTCTTTTCTAAATCTTAAACTTCTATTTTCTTGACCTATTGTCTCCAGAATATAGCACAAAGAAATCAGAAGCCTTTATTCTATCGATCTCCCCATACACACTCACATAAAGCTGCAAGTAACAATAAAATCATGTTACTCTTTCCTCAAGAGTAAGTTAGTTCAGAGTTCTTAACTTATCTCTACACAATAACCTTTCCATCTACAGAATCATTTCTATTGGCCTCCTATGAACCATTTCCAATAACTTAACATCCTTTAACCCTTTCGAGACGGGTCATAAGTGAAAAGCCATGTTATCTGGTTTGTTGGCTCACATTCAAAATTTTATTGAACTACTATTTCATGAATTCATGTCAGTAAGTTGGGTTTCAGACTGTAGATTATAATTCATATTTTAGTACTATACATTACTCAATTTCTTAATTTGAAAGTAAATATTAAAAAAAAACACAGATAAACATCGAATTTTGTGTGTCACATGGTATGTTGAATGCAACACTGGTTCAAATTAGCTGTTTGTGAAGCCCAACTACTAAGTCTATAGTTTCGTACGATTTCGAAACTCAAATTACAGATATTGACAAGCTAGAATATAAAACAAAAAGGTCTTATCTTTTCTATTTGCTAAAATATTGCTCATGTAATAAATCAAACACAGTGGCACCCCACCTACCTCTTTCCATTTTTGGAAATGCTCTCTTATATACACTTACTTCTTTCTATAAATGACATGAATAACTAATCAGAAGCTCAGAATGTTCCCCTAGTGGTTTTCTAATGTGGCTAGTGCCATTTCTTTTGAACCAAGATTTCAATGAGGTAGGTTGTGTCTTTAGTCTGCTCAAAAATTTCATATTTTTTTTTAAGAGTAAAATACATCTTAGTTGCTAAGCCTGATAAATTATAGTTGAATACTAACTATGGTATTGATGTGGTAATTTATGATTTTTTAGTTATTCAAATGTGTGTATATAACTATACAAAGTTATACAAAGTTTTATACTATATAAAACTATAACAAGTACAAAATTATTACAAGGTTGTCACATTGACCGACCCCGTATTGAAGCAGTTAACCGATAAGGAAATAAAAATGCACACATTATTCAAGGGTGAGAAATATATATATATAAAACCTAAAAAAAAATAGTTTGTTTCATATCCTCCAAGTGCAAGATTTTTAAAGGCTTAGCAACCTACGTCAAGCAGCAACTGAGTACAAAGGTCGTAACTAGAAGAGATAATTGTTTGCTTTACTTCCTTATTTACTGTTCTATGTTTTAGGGAAAATATGTTTAAGAACTTATTTCAAAATAGCAATAACGTATATACATATATAATATATAATAATTGAAAATTGACTGTATTTTACAAAATACTAGTTGACTAAAGCACAGCCAAGACAAATTACTTTGTACAGACCATAGGTCAGTTTTATGCTATTTGATATGGTAACATGAGTGCACGTGAGCCACATCATCGTAACTTCTGTATTGTTAGCCAGGCATGGGTGAAAGGTCAATATAATAAAAATAATAGATATACATAAATGTATTATGAGATTTAAGCTATTTTGCCTAACCATTTATGTTTTCGTATTCTAATTTGTGTTCATTCTAGAATGAAAAAGGCATAATTTATGTTCTGCAAAATTTCGTTACCAGTTGCTTACTACTTTAAAAGTTATAGCATGAAAACTATAACAAGTACAAAATTATTACAAGGTTGTCACATTGACCGACCTCGTATTGAAGCAGTTAACCGATAAGGAAATAAAAATGCACACATTATTCAAGGGTGAGAAATATATATTGCCCAATGCCTGAAAAAAAAAAAGATTTGTCTGGGGGACAAGTTTTTCATTATACTTTGTTCATTGTACACATTTTCTTTGTTTTTCTTTCACATCATTCCAGAAACTTTTGTACTGTGAAAGTCTGGGACATAGAGACAAACACTGAAAAATGCATACATCTAAATCTCAAAACAAAATTATAAACATAAATATACATATCCTTTTAACTCGAAAACCTTCACTTATATGCACAATATTATTACATTGCTTTTGTCTATAGTAGGAGTCCAGTGACACTTAACTCCCAGCTATATATCACATAATTAACAATTACATAAATTTAAACTATTTATATATACATATATATATATATATATATATGGTTCTCACACTTTGGGGTTGGCAAAATTACAGGACCATTAAACATTTTTCCAGAATATGTAAACCTTATCAGTAATTAAAATAAATGCTTCTTGCATAACTATCAGTTATATTTTGTCCAAATATTTTTGTTTCATGCTTTGGCAAGACAATCGTAAGTTATATATGTTAAAGGTAGTACAAACCATATGCATTAACCAACATAATCTATAATAACAAGAGTGAGTCAATTCTCCTAAATAGTGATTTTAAAAACTAAGGATGGAGTTTAGTGGTGATGCTAAGCAAATGGTATCCAGCACCTTTAAAAGTTAAAATAAACAGATAATTGCAGTTTTCATATAGCTAAAAAAATAAAATAAATAAAGCAAAAGTCAAAATGACTAATAGAGATATAAGAAAGCAGTTTAATATCATATAATAATATCATAGATGAAAATAAAAACAATTGGGAATTACCATAACATTTTTGTTCAAGGAAATAACTGACAACAAATTCATCTTAACCAAACAAGTTTAATAAGCATTTTAAAGTGTTATTACAAAACATATTGGTAAAGAGCACGAGATACCAGATAAAAAATACAAAAATGTGTCTAATTCAAACCCTGAGACAATATTTTTATAACTAACAATGTGTAATGAACTTAAAAGTATAACATATGGTTCAAAAAATAAAGTTCTGGTTGTGATAATATAAAAACCAAAATTATAAGAAACACAGATTATATTGGTAGGCTATTATTATTATTATTATTATTATTATATGTTTGCAATTTTTCTCTCCAATTTGGGATTTTCCTAATAATAATAGATAGCTAAAGTAATTCCTATACACAAAAGTGGAGATCACTAATTAATATTACTGTGACCTGTTTTATCAAAAATCATTGAAAAATTAGTAAAAATATTGATTAAACTCATTTATAAAAAACAAACTACTTGCTGGAACACAATTTGGTTTTAGAAAAAATGCAAATACCAAATACACGTTCTGTTACATTTTATTCCAAACATTTATAAATTATTAGGCGATGTAAAGAAACTAGCCATATTTCTCAATATTGCTTAAGCTTTTAAAATAGTGTCACATAATATATTAGTAAAGTGTTAGAAAATAAAGGAATTAGAGGTTTAGCTTTAAAATGGTTTAAGTTATTTAAAAAATAGAATACAATATGTATATATAGTAAAAACTTTATTATCTGGCATCTCCTGGATGTGAGCAGTGCCTGATAGGCAAAAATTCTGGTTATGAAAGCATTTCTGTTACTGTATCTTACATGAAAAATTTTTGACACCTTGTTAATGTTTTAAAATATGGTATCTACTTCATGTATATATATTTTATAAGTACGGTATTTAAAATGTGAATTGCAGTACATGCAGCTGACAACTGAAGCTTGCCAGTGAGAAAGAACATAAGCAAAATAACAGCAGCACCACTAAGCTACAATAAGCATTTGTATTTAGAGATGTTGAAATTCCTGGTTACAAAAACTCTGCAAATATGAAGCTGCCAGATAACAAAGCTTTTACTGTATAAACAACAGTTATGGTAATCCACAACTGTGTATGATATTCTACAAGAATCTAATCTAGGTCCTATAATATTTATAAATGATTCTTATAAGCTAAATTACATAGAAATATCATAACTTCTTATGATGATACTGCATATTTTGGGGTCATCCAAAGAAAATGTGTAATTTGCGTGTGTAATAACATCAAATAAAATGCAAGAAACACTGAGTATGATTTTTTGCTCCCCTCTCATTGTGTTTACCTCTAAACCAATAAAATTTATTATATGACATCAGTAACCCAAACACAATTAATTTTTGTTCACCATGCATGTACATATTGGAACAGAAGTAATTTCTATCAAACCACTTGCACAAGTTATTTTTAGGTCTGACAATTTGATGTTTCATACGAGTACACTTTTGGATGATTTTAACCTTCCCAAACAATTTTTTTCCATACAATTTTGTGGTCTCACTTATCGGTCTTTTCCACATTTTCACTCCACTTAAAAGATTAAACAAAACAGCAGAAACAGTTCTGAAGATAAACAAAATATTTCTAATTGAATAAAATACTCACAGCAGTCGTTGTTATCTATGATTTTCTTAAAGAAGAGGAAAACACTAGCAGACACCCAAAGTCATGTCGGATGAGGTCATGGATCATCAAAATAGCACAGTAATGAGTAAAGGATTAGAAATTATAGGTCATCATTATAAGTTTCATTTCCAAACTTCAACTGGGAAACTATGACTGACTAAACATTGACTTTGCAAGTACACCTAGGCCTGGTTAGCCCCATGTACAAATAACTTATCAACTGTGTTGAACTTGGCAGCCAATTATTCATGGACAGACTTCCTCCTATTCTTACTGCTGTAACAGTGTAAGCTGGGTCAGTGATCCTCCACCAGCACTTCTTCTGTCAACAACTTTCAATGAAAGTGACTACAACAGTTGCATTCTGTGAATGTTTTAACTTGTTCATTTTAAAATTGATGTAAAAATTCTGACTTCTGAAACATAACAGAGGAATGGTATCCATTCATTGGTTGAAACTGAAACAACTCTTCAGAAAAGTCATTCAGAATAGGACAGAACTCTATTTTCTAAGATTTCAAGACGACTTTTCAAAATGAATCGTTTCGTTGGTTTCATTTAACAACCTGTAAAAACGATTTAAAGCCTAGTCGAATTGCATGGAAAATAAATACGCAAGAACCAGGGTTTACATTACATTTACAATATACATTGCCTGTTAAAACTTACAGCTTACAAATTACACTTAACTTACACTACACTTTAAAAATTAAATTGAGGTGTTTTCCCTTATATTTTTAATTCAGGTATGTCAGGAAAAAGCCACCATATTCCAATTATCATTATCAATATCACACAAATTACCACTACCACTGTACCACAATAAACTATAAAGCTATAATAATAAAGTCAAGAGTGCAGCACCTCTTTAAATTTAATGTTCACAATTTCCAAACACTTGTCTGTTTTTATTAAATATCTTAAAATGCACCTTCCTACTCCAAATAATAATATTTTATTAATTATAATTAGTTAGTCTTTCCAAGAAACAAAGTATAGCCTATAGGCCTAACCTCTGTCTCGCAACTTTATTCTAGACAAAATTATCTAAAGCAAATACAATATATCACGATAACTTACCAATGAACACAAACACCTGCTTATAAGTTACAACTTACAGACTTTCTAATTCAACATGTAATGACCCAAAAACGTAGAATGCAATTTACTCATCTAAATACTTAAGATGACGTTACAAAATAACTTACGTTTACAAGATTTACTTCAGAAAGCTTTTCAATGGCGACGACGTCTAAAGTGGAATATGAACACTAACGTTAATATGTATGTATATATATATATATATTTCAATAAACACGATAACAACATATCAATTGTTAAAAAAATATGTACTGCGCTTTATTGAAAACTCATATTTACACTATATAGTTATTGAAAAATTTGTATGATTATTGTATCAAACATATTTTATCTAAGACTGCTAATTTTTAAGAATACAAATAAAGACAATGAATACGACCATATAAATATGTGTGTATTCTTTTTTGTGTGTGATTATGTATGTTTCATTATCCTTCTGTAAAACATAATTTTATGTTTCTGAAGTGAAGTCTACACCATCT